TCAGGGCATGGCTGTGGCAGTGCTGTCGGGTGACACTGCCTGGCCAGGGGCTGCCATACCCTGGGGAGCTGGCACAGCCCCCTTTGCTAGATCCTGGGGCCACAAGGGTTGAGTGTCCGGCAGCACGTCAGGATCCATTTGGAAGGAGAACAGGAGCTGGTACCCTTGCAGTGTTTAAATAAGCAAAGTTTTTGTGCAAAGCAGAGGTTAATGTACTTTATTGTTCAATGTCATGTTTATAGTGGATTGTTGGAGGAAAAAAATGTGATTAATTGCCCAGAAACCCACGGATCTACAATTATTTGGTTGTTGTGAACAAATAAAGGGCTACAGTATTCATCATATTCAAATGAGGCAGTAAAATAAATGATGGCATGCCGTTTATGAACAAAACCTCGCCATGTTCCCTCACAATCTGAAAATGTACTCGAAAAATTGTAAATGAGATACAGCCATTGTCGAGGGCTCACTGGTGATTTGTCTTTGTGTAATGTTTTGCAGTGCTGACCCATCACTTGCCTGTTTTAATTTATGTCACAATATGCACCTTCATTATGCACTTTATGAAAACGAAGTGCCAATTTGTAATAAAGACTTGTTTTCAATGAAATCTCCTCTTTTTGGTAGGTGTTCTGCTTTTCATTAGCACCCATTTCACCAGGCCTAGTTAAAGAGCACAGGTACAGACTAAATATGTCCGATCATTCATCATAATTTTGCTTTCCACTTTGTCACAGCTTGGGTATTTAAGGAAGATAGATGATACAAGATGTTGTCTCCTTTTCAGACTCTTTATGCTCTGGTAAGTGTGTCCGATGCAGAATTATTTTGCCACTTTATTATTTCCCAGTGAGTGTTTGTCACAGCCCGCTCTGCTCCGGTGCGGTGCTGGTGTTTGCTGTCACTCACCGTGCGGGGCTGGGGCAGCTGCTGCTGCTGCTGCCTGCCGGAGCTCTGGGTGGAGCTCAGCGGAGCTCAGCCCAGCACGGCTCAGCCCGGCAGGGCTCAGCTCGGAACAGCTCAGCTCAGCACGGCTCAGCCTGGAACGGCTCAGCCCAGCACAGCTCAGCCCATCACTGCCCAGCAGTGCTGATGAGGGACAAAAGTCTCACTGCTACTGATAATGCGACACACCTGAGCACACCTGAGCCACAGCCCCGCTCGCCCTCCCCATGTCTCCCCCCGGCTCTGGCCCCACGGGTGCCACAGCACAGGGAAGGGGCACAGCCAGGCACGCTGCACTCTGAAAGCTCTCCCTTCCTCTCTGGCCAGCTCCAGAAGCTCTCCCTTCCTCTCTGGCCAGCTCCAGAAGCTCTCCCTTCCTCTCTGCCCAGCTCCAGAAGCTCTCCCCTCCTCTCTGACCAGCTCCAGAAGCTCTCCCCTCCTCTCTGACCAGCTCCAGAAGCTCTCCCTTCCTCTCTGGCCAGCTCCAGAAGCTCTCCCTTCCTCTCTGCCCAGCTCCAGAAGCTCTCCCTTCCTCTCTGCCCAGCTCCAGAAGCTCTCCCCTCCTCTCTGCCCAGCTCCAGAAGCTCTCCCTTCCTCTCTGCCCAGCTCCAGAAGCTCTCCCTTCCTCTCTGCCCAGCTCCAGAAGCTCTCCCCTCATCTCTGACCAGCGAAAGCTCTCGGCCTCACTGCCGAGCAGAGTGCTGTGCCCGCAGGAGCGCGGGAGGACGGCGGCTGCCAGCGGGGCTGGCTGTCCCAGGGCTGGCTGTCCCAGGGCTGGCTGTCCCAGGGCTGGCTGTCCAGGGCTGGCTGTCCCAGGGCTGGCTGTCCAGGGCTGGCTGTCCCAGGGCTGGCTGTCCCAGGGCTGGCTGTCCCAGGGCTGGCAGCAGCAGCGGTGGCACAGATGTGTGCCCAGGGCTGGAGAGCAGAGTGCCAGAAGGCTGCTGGCCGTGCCAGGGCTCGCTGAGCGGCAGCAGAGGCAGCCCTGGACAGGTCGGGGGGTCAGCCGCAGCCTGCTCAGGGCAGCAGAGCTGCTCTGCACAGCTCAGCTCTGGCGGCTTTGTGCCTTTAATCCGCTTGTGGCCACATTCCTGTCTGGCCCTTCCCAGTCTCTGCTTCCCAGGCACGTGGCACAAGCTTATTAGGACTCATGATGCAGCATCAGGTATTTTCATCCATCCCAACTATCACCACAGCCTTTTCTTTCAGGAACCCCGACTTCACATGTACAGGGGCTCTCCCCAGTCAGCAGAGGCAGAAGGGGAGAGAGCCAGGGCTCCCCAAAGGAGTCTCCTCATATCTGGAGCCCTCCTTAATATTTAGACATTCCCCAGCAGAGGCACAGGCAGTGTCCCTGAATAGGGAACAGCATTTACTTCATGGCAGAAAGGAGAATGAATTCACTTCAGGGTGACCCTGGAGAGAGATCCCCTGGCCGGACGGGGATGAGGGGGTGTGAACAGAAGGGTAAAAGGGCAAAAGTGCCACCCTGCAGCACATCCCAGCCACATGAGCCTTGTCTGTGGGCTGTGGGCTCTCCCTGTGCCCTGCAGGCCTATGTACATGGGCCACAAAGTGCCCCTGAGCTCCCGGGTGCCCCCAGCCCAGTGTGGCCCTGCTCTCCCCATGTCCCCAGCCCAGTGTGGCCCTGCTCTCCCCATGTCCCCAGCGCCTCTCGTGCTCCCACTGCGTCCTGCGTTCCCCCCGCCCCATCTTCTGGGCGCTCACCGTGCCCTGAGTGTCCCTGTGCCCCTTGTCTCCATGGTGCCTCCCTGCCCCGTGTCCCCGGTGTCCCCCCGGTGTCCCCCCCGGTGTCCCCGCGGTGTCGCCCCGTGTCCCCACTGTCCTTCCGTGCCCCCGATGTCCCCCCAATGTCCCCCCGGTGTCGCCCCGTGTCCCCAGTGTCCCTCCGTGCCCCCGATGTCTCCCCGGTGTCCCCGCGGTGTCCCCGCGGTGTCGCCCCGTGTCCACCAGGTGGCGCTGTCGGAGGCCGCCGCCGCCCCCCGGAGCCCCGGGACGGGCCCGGGCTGGGACCGGGCGGGAGCGGAGCCGGGAGCCCCCAGACCCAGCCCGGAGCCCCCAGACCCAGCCTGCAGCCCCCAGACCCAGCCCGGAGCCCCCAGACCCAGCCTGCAGCCCCCAGCCCCAGCCCTGAGCCCCCAGACCCAGCCTGCAGCCCCCAGACCCAGCCCGGAGCCCCCAGACCCAGCCCGGAGCCCCCAGACCCAGCCGGGAGCCCCCAGACCCAGCCCGGAGCCCCCAGACCCAGCCCCCAGACCCAGCCGGGAGCCCCCAGACCTAGCCCGGAGCCCCCATACCCAGCCTGCAGCCCCCAGACCCAGCCGGGAGCCCCCAGACCCAGCCTGCAGCCCCCAGACCCAGCCCCCAGACCCAGCCCGGAGCCCCCAGACCCAGCCCGCAGCCCCCAGACCCAGCCTGGAGCCCCCAGACCCAGCCCCCAGACCCAGCCGGGAGCCCCCAGCCCCAGCCCGCAGTCCCCAGCCCCTTGCCTCCAAAGCACCAGAGCTCTTCTGTGACATTCACATTCTCCGGACAGAGAGCCATAACTCTGCCTCTCAAGAGAAGTATAGAGAGAAGAAGAGAAAACAGTCTTTATTTTTGTTCTTTTGTTTTCGCTATGTAGAATGTGGTGTGGAGATTGTTTACGTGCAGTGATGGCTGGGTGGGATTCTGGTGAAGGTTGCTTGGGTTCAGTGACCAGTGGCATCCAGCTGTGTCTTGGACTCTTGGCAGAGAGTCACAAGTTTATTCATTAGTTACATAGGTAAGTAAAAGTAAATATGTAGAATACTATAGTATCTCTTTAAATAGTATATTAATATAATATAGTATAGTTTTAATAAAGCTATCCTTCAGCCTTCTGATCTGGAGCCAGACATCATAATTTCTTCCCCTGATCCAGGGTTCACTGTGCTTTTACTATACTCTTAATTTTTTTCCTCCAAGAAGCAGTTTTCCGTGGTGGGAAGCATTTCCATTGGCATGGGAACACTGGTGGGTGTCAGCTTCAATGACACCTTTGATGGGAGGAAGATTAAATCACTTTTTTCCTTTTAATATTTGGTTGATATGGTGAGATATTCAATATAAATACGGTCACTGTTCTTGCTTTAATTACTTTTGCTTGAATTGTGTATAATATTAAATATTTCACATTATAATCTATATTATGTTGTATTTCATAATCTATTTTTATACACAAAAAATTTGATCATGTCAAGAAGGAAGGTCACATGCTTCTAAATTAAAGTTTGTTTGGTTTTTTCCTGTATGGTGAATATTAAAGATTTGTTCCAATGTAGAGGAGAATGTGTGTCGTGGTGCTGGTGTGTCCCACGGACCATGGATATCTGACCATTCCAAAGCACAGGTTTCACCGTGGTTTTGAGGCTGACATGGTTCCTGAGCACGTCCCCATCGCTGTGCTCTGCCCCATCTTGCCTCCCCAGTTTAGCCCCCCAGACTCAGGATGTTACAGGATGTTATGTGGAACGGTCCCAAACATCACTTATTAATAATCACTTATTATGTGAGATGCCCAGTATTGATTTAAACCCAGGGCAACTTTTGGAAGAGCAGGCTTAATTTATAGAAACTCTGATGTCTGATAGCAATAAATAATTAGGTGATCACAAGAAAAGGGATCAGAGGGCTCTACCCTCCGACTCCAGCTGGCTGCTCATGTCCTGCTAATAAATTGGTTAATAAAAGGAGAAAGAAAGCCTGGATTCTGGGGTTATAAAAACAAATGCCATTTTTATGTTTAGTGGACAGGAAGATCTGGGAAGGCAGAGAAGTCAGGCGGGTGCCCCGGGAATCGCTCTGCGTTCACCATCTGAATTTCCTAATGGCATTCTCATTAAAAGTTCTCGCTGCCAAGCGCTGCTCGCTGTGCCCTCAGAACTGCCTGCACTGATTAGAGGAACTTTGTGTTCCTCCAGCGTGGTTCCCATCACCGGGTGGGACAGGGAGGGAGCACGGCCGGAGCCCGGCCCTGCAGGAGCAGCGCGGGCACGGGCACGGACACGGGTATGGACATGGGCACGGGCAGGGACATGGGCATGGGCACAGGCACGGACATGGACGCGGGCAGGGACACGGGCATGGACACGGGCACGGGCACGGGCATGGGCACGGGAACGGACATGGACACAGGTATGGACATGGGAATGGGCATGGACACGGGCACGGACATGAGCACGGACACGGGCACGGGCACGGGCCTGCAGCCGCCGGTGGGGCTGGTGCCAGGAGGACACTGGGTTGGCAGCGGGTCTGGGCAAACAGCGCAGCGGGTGCAGGGCCCTGCGAGTGCCAGCGAGCAGCCAGGGCACAGCTGGGTGGGCACAGGAAGGTGGGCACAGGTTGGTGGGCACAGGAGGGTGGGCACAGCTGGGGGGCACAGCTGGGTGGGCACAGCTGGGTGGGCACAGGCAGGCGGGCACGGGTGGGGGCACAGCCCTGCAGCCAGCCTGCCCTCCCAGACCCGCTGGCAGCCTGCCCCCTCGCTGCCCGCCTGGTGCCCTGGCTCGGCCCGAGCCCTCAGCCTCCCCTCTCTGCCAGGACAGCTGCGCCGAAAGAGCCCTCAGGTATCGCCTGGCTGCACTGGCAGATCTTCAGGGCAAGAAATCAAATGAAATCTCCGTAGTGATGAAGTGAAAAATAAAGCACTGTTTAAGAAATTGTCCTTTCTTTGCCGCTGGGGGGAGGGGGTCCAGAAGGAAACACAGACAAAGGTGCTGAAGGTCTCAATCATCCCACTGCTTAATTATTCTATCTCTCAGAAGGCATCTCCAGGCAATTAGAATAATCATTCATGCCTGTGTTTTACAGGGACTCTCACATTCTTCCCGTGAAGCATCAGAGCTGGATTGTAATATTTTTTTTAAACTTTAACAGTGACCTGCAACTAAAAGAAAAATAAAAGTTTTTTGAAATATTAGTTTAATAAGACATGAGAATAATATTAAGGATATGAGCCTCCCTTATTTATTATTTATATGTATAGTGTGATTTAGAGATGCACTTGAACCAAGCAAGTCACTACCAAAGAGTGGATCTATCCCTCTCTATATATATTAAAAAAACCTACAATATTCGCCTGGAGATTCTGTCCACATATTCGGAGATTGTGATTTAACATACACAGTTTATCAAGGCTGGTGTGCTGCACACAGAGGCTGGGGTTTTATGTAAGGGTATAAATAATCAATGCACATAGCAACTTTAAATTACTGCTAATGTGTTTTACTTATGTTCCCACTAGAACAATATGTGAAATAACAGGGAGTTGCTAGGCACACGCTTGACAAATAATATCCATGCGTTTCCATTTTTATTATTTTTATACATTTCTTATTAAGCCAATGGTGCAGTTCGGGCCCATGCAGCCACCAGGCCCTCGCTGCAGATCACAGTGGTGTGAGCTGGAGGGGAATGCAGCGGGCTGCCAGGGCTGGGCTGTGGCCCTGGCACTGGCACTGGCACTGGCACTGGCACTGGCCCTGGCACTGGCACTGGCCCTGGCCCTGGCACTGGCCCTGGCACTGGCACTGGCACTGGCCCTGGCCCTGGCACTGGCACTGGCCCTGGCCCTGGCACTGGCACTGGCACTGGCCCTGGCCCTGGCCCTGGCACTGGCACTGGCCCTGGCCCTGGCACTGGCACTGGCACTGGCACTGGCACTGGCACTGGCCCTGGCATTGGCACTGGCACTGGCCCTGGCACTGGCCCTGGCACTGGCACTGGCCCTGGCCCTGGCACTGGCACTGGCCCTGGCCCTGGCACTGGCACCACGGGGCAGCAGTTCTCCGGCAGGACCGTCGGTGAGCAGCTCTGCCTGCAGCAGTGCATGCCACCAGCAGTGCATGCTCACAGCAGTGCACGCTCACAGCAGTGCATGCTCACTGCAGTGCATGCTCACAGCAGTGCATGCTCACTGCAGTGCATGCTCACTGCCGTGCATGCTCACAGCAGCACAGGGCTCCTGCTCTGCTGCACCTCTGCAGCTTTCCCCGTCTGCTGCCTCTGTCCATTGGGGTATTGGCACAAGAGCAGCTGGCAGAGCTGCTCCATGAGCTGCTGCAACCAAACCATGACCCACCTTTTCCCTCTGCCATTTACCTCGTACAGTGCCTGTGAACATCCCTGCTGGACTGAAACGTGCACCCCCAGGTGGGGACTCTGGAGCAGCCCAAAGCCCAGCAGTGCCCTGGCACAGCCACAGGGCACACACACCATCAGGGGAAGGGCAGCCTCACCTGGCATGCACGGAAGATGCCAGCACAGAAATCCCAGTATTGAACATGGCACTAGTAGGAAAGCACTTGACTAGGAAGGAGGACAGATTTGCTCTAAAGCATGTAATCATCTCATCTGCGTGCTCTAGAGCTCTCACAAAACCTTCTCTGCTCTGAAGCAATGGGTATGTGAGGAGCAGGGAGCACTGCTCAGGGCCTGCCCCTCGCATCCACAGCCCCCCCCAACCCCAGCAGGGAGCTTTCCATTAAAACTACTTAGCAGACAATAACTATTTCTCTGTAAACAAGTCTTTGAGTGTTTATTACTGTGTCACCATCAAAGCCATACAGCTTTGTACTGTGTTTAATGGAAAAAAATTAACAGTGTTTTGAAACCCACTCCACATAGAAATGCAAATGGATTTCCCAGGGCACACAGGCTTGAGCTGTCCCTGGAACTATCAGGTGCCCCCTGGACATTGGCACAACCCCCATTCTGGTGATACAAACCCCCTTCACTGCATATAGGAGCAATAAAGAACCAGCAGCCTTTGCACAAATGTCCTCACAACCCAAACGTCCTTTCTTGCAGCAAGAACAGAGTCCAGCTCCACAGTGTTGGTGTTAATTGAAAGAGTTACCTCAGTGTCCATGAGAGCTCAGGCAGCCCCAAAAACGCTACCCAGATGAGATGGGCATCACATGGGACTGGCAGCTCACAGGACCTTTCTGCTGGGGGTGAAGTAACAGCTGCCAGTGAAGAGTGTAGCTGTGTTATGGAGAATATGAATTTGGGTAATGTGGCCATCAGGATTATCCTTCAGATGTATTTCCAAAGAGTGGGCAGCCCTGACTGCCCAGTGCAGCAGCAAGGGGCTGCCAAGGGCTGGGCCCAGCCAGTGCCAGCAGCGCTGTCCCTGTCCCCGCCAGGCACGCTGCCTGGGCTGGCACAGCCACCACGGCACACAGAGGGCAGGGACACATCCCTCAGCACGGGGGGAAAACACCCCATTGCAGAGAAAAGCAGCTTTGGAGCTTTAATTAAAAACCAGGGTTCACAGCACTGGGGCATTGACTTCCACCAGTTAATCTCCATCACTTCATTTCACCACCAACTTCCATACTCTACAAAACTGCTGGAGACAATTTTTATTGATTGCTCTTCAAGCCGTCAAAAGCGTCCCCGGCTGATCATATGTTACCCCCAGACACCTTGTGCATTTCAGATAATAACTTGGTGCTCTACAGAAGAAATGAATTGGATGTGCAGTCAGTAACTGTCCAAGTGAATCATGTTACTATATGTCAGCAGCCCAGGCTCTGACTATCATTTTAACAGAGAGAAATCCGCTATTTTCATGGCTGTTTGAAATTATTTTCCAGATGAATAAGATATAACAACAACTACTTACAATAAAGAATAATATGGGGAATCTGCTACTTGGAAACAAATCTTTCCAGTGTAATGCTGTTTAATATTATTTAATCTGTAACTATGAACATGAAATTTTGAGACTAGCTTTCATGTAGTACAAAAAGCTTGTGATGTGGGGGAGTGGGAAGCTGCAGTTGGCATGGGTGATGGGTAGTATTTGCTCTCTTATAACTGCAGATACAGTAATTCATACAGAAAATGGAGCATTGCTAAAATGAGGTTGACAATGATGCATCCTGTTGCCAGTCATTGGGAGTGAGGGTTTATTTTGCATGAACAATTACCATGTGCCAGGCTTACTTCCTTTTTCCGGGGTGTTTGGAGTGTGTGCTGTGCTCGGAATTGCTGCAAATAACTGCAAATGGATTTTGTGAGCTTGAAAAGAAGCAAATAATTTGGAAGCTCTCACCAACCTGGGAACTCGTTATTTATACAAGCCTTGTTTTTTTTGTAGAACTGCCTTAATGTGTTCCCCAGGCCTGACCCTGGCAGGGCCGGGCTCCTGGGGCAGCCCAGGGGCACAGGGGGTGAGTGGTGGGCACAGCCCCGGGCTCTGGACATGGTGGTGGGCACAGCCCCGGGCTCTGGGAACTGTGGTGGGCACAGCCCCGGGCTCTGGGCTCTGTGGTGGGCACAGCCCTGGGCTCTGGGCACTGTGGTGGGCACAGCCCCGGGCTCTGGGCTCTGTGGTGGGCACAGCCCCGGGCTCTGGGCTCTGTGGTGGGCACAGCCCCGGGCTCTGGGCACTGTGGTGGGCACAGCCCCGGGCTCTGGGCTCTGTGGTGGGCACAGCCCCGGGCTCTGGGCACTGTGGTGGGCACAGCCCCGGGCTCTGGCACTGTGGTGGGCACAGCCCCGGGCTCTGGGCACCATGGTGGGCACAGCCCCGGGCTCTGGGCACTGTGGTGGGCACAGCCCCGGGCTCTGGCACCGTGGTGGGCACAGCCCCGGGCTCTGGCACTGTGGTGGGCACAGCCCCGGGCTCTGGGCATGGTGGTGGGCACAGCCCCGGGCTCTGGCACTGTAGTGGGCAGGGCAATGGAGCGTGGGCACTGTCAGTCCTGTGGCAATGACGGATCTGCTGCAGGAAACCCCCACCCGCAGGGGCAGCTGTCCCTTCCACTGCCTTATCTCCTGCTTTGCAGAAGACCAATGAGAGGGATTATTTGACTAATATCAGCCTGCTTTCCCATTTCCCCTCCCAGAGTTTCAGAATCCAGAAATGTTGCACAGCCCCACCTCAGGCAGACGCCTGCTGCTCCTGACCACTCCATTCCAGCCCGGCTTTTTGTAAGAAAGGGCCCCAAAAGGACATTTCCTCGGGAGAAAAGTGCCCAGCCACTTCTGCAGAGCCTCCCAGAGGCTGAGCCCACAGGCAGGAATACAACCCCTGGTGCCTGGCTTGGCCTGGAGACTTCTCCAGTGTGTCCCAGGGCCATCCTGGGAGAGAGAGGCCAGGTCCTCAGGTACACAGGAATTCTGAGAGCTGTGCCACAGCAGGCAAAATGATGGAAATAAAGAGAAGGAGGCTTGGTGGCATGGAGAAGGTCTGGGGCTGCCTGCAGCTTGGCTCCTTAGGGACAGGGGTCCCAGGCACGCTGTGCTGCAGCTCATCGTCTCTGTACAGTGGAGTCCTTTTGCTGAAAGGGTTAAATAAGTCATGAGCCATAACTGCTGCAAAATAGCAACTCACTCCTTGGGTGACTGAAACAAAGGTGGTTGAGGCAAACCATATTTGTTCTGATGAGTCCTGGTGTCTCCCTGAGTCCAGAGGCAGGACCTATTTGCATACACATTTGCATACACGTTTGCATGCATGACGTGAGCACAGCCACCCCAGCTGGGCACAGGAGCTGTTTGCCACCCCTGCCTGGCCTGGTCCAGCTCAAGAGGCAGGAGCCTGATCCCACCCCAAGGTGGCTGCAGGGCATCCCAAGCAGAGGCACCTTTTCCATGAGTGTTCCTTTTCCAGGCTGGGGCACCGA